ATAGGTTTCCACAATTGTTTAGAAGACTTACATAATTCACTTTATTTTCTTATAAATGTAATGAAAGAAACAAACAACTCAATGTTTTGTTTTATATTATGTTAATCTATTGTCAGGTCCTAAATGTATGATATGGAAATTTTATTTACTTAAAATAAGGTAGATCTTTTCATAAAGTTATGCAACTAACTATTTCATATTATGAATCTTCAGTTATCTTTGTTAGCTATGAAGGATACTGTTGGTTTTATGTAAGTCTTCTATGTGTTTTGGCATACAATAAACCATAGTTCAAAGCTCAAGTAACTTATTCATGTTTAAACTAATGATTGGTAATATTAATACTATCATTACTATTAATAATATTTTTATAGATTCTCAATAATGTTAACATTACAGTCATGATAATAAAACAGTGATTCTGTATTTTTAATTTTACAGACACAATAGCCTTTTGCGTGTAACTTTACTGAAATCCTAATGAATTATTCAATATTTTGTTGTTTTATTCTGTATAATTTTGTTCTTAATTTTCATACTGTTTTTGGTAACACCTAGAAACTAATAGATCGTTAAACCTTATACTGGCTTCTAAATCTTGACTACAAAAAAATGCGGCGAGACTATAATTTATGGATGAACCAATCACGTATAAGATAACAGATCTGGGATTTTGGCGTAAAATTCTAATTCCTCACTTTAACCATCAACTGAAAATCATAATTCTAATCCCCCATATTGTTTCGTAATCCTCATTTGATCCTAGTTACTAGGTGGACACTTTCAAGGTCACTTCGGCGTCACTCAAAAATCACCCATAAATTATAGTCTCATCAAAAAAATTTTTCACAGATAACATTTGATTATATGATTATAATTTTGTTATTCAAAATGTGATCATACAATTTGAGCAATTAATTCTAAAAGTGACCTAAATATTGTTGTATGTGAGTTTTATTAGTTAGATGTAATCAATTATTCAGCTGTTTAAAAAATCTTTAGGTTCAATAGTTTGAAAAGTTCCTATTCTAAAGATATATATTTAGCCCCATTTTTAAATTGGTTAGACTCAAAGCTAAAGAACCCGTTTATATCTGTTACATAGTGACTCAATTCAACTTATTTTGTTAGTCTTAGTCATTACTGATTTATTTTGATTGTTAGCAACGGCTTCGTTGCACAGTGTTAGATAATTTATTCAGCAGACATCATTATATTTACAGTTATTTCATTTCATATTATGTAATTAGTAATCACAAACCAATTATTTGATCTTATTATTCAATTCATAATGCGTTCTATCACATTAATTTCATTTTACACACAAATCTAACTTAACCCATTGAAAAATATTTATTCTTTTAGATCAGTGAAATAAAGTTACGAAGGATCATGATAAGAATTCTATGAAGATGATATTCATTATTCATGCAATACCACATTTCTTTTGCGTTTCTATAACGAATTTGCTATTTTTTATTCAAAATGAGTTTATTGACATTCAGTGAATATTACATAACTTAGTATTTGTGCTTCAGTGAATTTAATATCATAAAAATAATTGGACCGTGTTTACAATTATAATTGACAAAGTACTTCTGCAACATTGTAACTTGTTAATAAAACACATAGTATATTTGGATTATGATCACTAACAGAATTTATGATTCATGTTTCATTCTATTTTGAACTCATCAACAAGATATTTCTGCATTATACTGTTGATGTTCATACTGAAATAAAACACTAGTTACTATAGCTTTAAATGTCAATCTGTTGTGCACTAAACTGATGTGTTCAGATAACCATTAATACACCTAGTGTGAAAGAAGGTGTCAACTAAGGTATGTCTCATTTTATTGTTGATACTAAGGATTCCAATTGATAGATAGAGATCATTATATGAACAGCATAAATACACAAATCTTGATGAACATCTATAAAATATTTAAAATATATTCATTTAATGAATAACATACAAACCTTTAGACTAAAAATTAGTTCCTCAGTTGTTTCATTATATTTGTGTTAAATTTTAAACTATACATGTTACAAATGATTGTTAGATCGATTTAAATTATAAAATCTCCGCTTTATAGACATTTACTTTACTAAATAAACGTGAAGTAACCCAGTATTTGATAGACTTTTATATGGATTATTTACATAGTTCATAAGAACTATTTTTTCATCTGACATATTATATTGACGGCATTTCATGAAAATCAGATTATCACTAAAGCTACACAAGTTTCCACTTTATTCTTGTCTTATACACAAAGTAAAAACATAGAAATCTATTCATTGGCTTATAGGCGTATGATATAAAGTACTTTTTATTATATATACAGACTTTTGAAACTTAAATTTTCGGCGAACGGTTTAATATGTGTGTTAATGAAATAAACTACTTCTCTGCAATTATTATTTAAAAAATACTGGTTTAAACAACTCAGTAAGTTACACATTTTCGTTTATAACAATAAGGACTATCAACCGAATTAATGTGAATATTTTCAATGTTTGAATACAAATACAAATCTTTTTCAACAGTATAATGTGACTGACCTATTATCCTTCTAAAGCACAACATACAATAAGGTAGTTTTAAGTGAGCTTTTCGTTCAAATTAAATACACAGAAATGTCTTTATTTCATGTTTTTGTGAACTTTCAGTTAAAAACAGGGGCTTTTAAGTAAAAAAACATTAAATGATACACACTAAACTTGTAAATATTTAAATAAATAGTCTATCGTTCAACATACTCAATGCCTTATTACATTTCACTGGGAAACCTTTCGCTAGAATAAAGAACTTTAATAAAAGTATAGAAAATATCGTATTATTTAGTGACTTGAATGTTTAAAAGTCATATTCATTAATTTAATTATATTGTCAATGTAAACTCAGAAATTTCAAATGATTTAAATATGAAATTAAATATGTCAGTTAGATTAAACTAATGAGTTGTTACAGAGCAAAGTTGTACTGTAATTACTGTTAATTATCAGAAAGAGGTTTTGTAGCTTTGTGCTCACTAGGTACTGGCTTGAAGAGGTATTTCTAGTGTAAAGCAGTGACTAGTGTTCAAGCGGGTCTGTTATGAGATAGTAACTCATTGAAGACAAAGACAATAGCACAATTTCGTGCATTAGTTGAAATTAGACATTCACATCGTCGGATGCCAGCTCAGTGACCTGGACGTTAAGTATTCGCGCGCGAGACCAAAGGCTTTGCTTTCGAATCTCGTGTGCGGGGTAGTGGGCGCGCACTGATGAGAAGTCACGTACTATGACGAAACGGCCATCTAGTGCTCTAGGTTTTTTATGGTGGTCTAGCTTTTATTGACTCATGAATTCAACTATTAAATTATCAAATTAACGTATCAGACTTGCAAGAAACAATTGTGCGGTAATGATTAAAATTTAAGAAATGCTCATCTTTACTCGATAGGTATTTTTTCAATAGTGCATGCAACAGTTTAGGCTACAATCTATGTTGTGTTATAAACTCTTTTCCTAACGATTTCAATGCTAGCTGACAAAAATATGTGTTGGTTGTAATTCTTGGGAATTTTATAAATCTCATTGAATGTTCGATTTAAACTGAGGACCAAGTAGGTAATTTCTGAGTAAATTGACTCATTTTGTTGTATGTCAATCAGTAGTGAAAATTGTTTTTAGACGTTTAGGAAAATGATGATGTATGTAAAATTAACATCCCTAACTTAGTTGCTATTAGCTGACTTTCATATGAGTAAATTCATTTTGTTAGTTCAATTTTTGCTAAACTGAAATCAATATTTATTTTCTAATGAAGTGACCAACACAACAGAGAGGAAAGATTACAAATCGAATTCTCTGTTTTATAAGGTATTGCAAAAATATTATTCCCATTATAATAAAATACATAAAAACCAAGTCAAACGATAACTGAAACTTAGTAGTTACTAAAAGAATAGAAGAAGAAAAAACTAAGAATTTCATATTCGATAATGCCGTTCAAAATCTATTACACCTACATATTCCTAATATATATCATCCGTTCTTTGTGTGGTATATACAAAAAAGAGAATTAAATTTTCATCCTTTCTTGTCAGCTGTTTACGAAGTGATTTTTTAACAATAATTTACTGTAAATCAGTTAGTGAATTTTCAATGAAAGTCATTTCCAAAATTAACTTTCATGTTTACAGCGCTTATTAGTGAGGACAAGATATAAACTGCGTTATAATTTAGCGTAATACTTAGGGATATTTGGTGATTTAACTCACCTTTATGTTCATTTTTGATTATCAAGAATATTTACTAAGTAATCATTAAACTTCAGTAAAATTAGTACATAAATGAATGTATTTAGTTAAAGAATCTATCATGTTTTGGAGGGTAAGTCAAATCATTATCTACCATCAGATTTTTCATTTTTCTAGCGTCGTATTTTATCTTAGTTCCCACGTGTTCCACGTTTGGTCCTACAGTAATAAAATTGGTTATAATAACTTACAGGTATTGTGACATTGAATGTTTCAAACAAATAGCACACCACTTATTAATTCAGATAGATAGAAATGTCTTGTTTAAATTGCAATTTATTGAAATAATAAGTGATATATAGTTAACCAAGTTATATTTTGATGTATTATAATGAACGAAAGAAGGGTGATTTGCAAAATTATGGGAGAGCGGAGTAGCACTTGTATATAACACTACACTAAGTATTCATTGGCAGGTTTATTGAGCCATCTTTGAGGTTGTAATCATTCTTCATCTTCCTCTTACTTTTTGATCAGTGTTTGGTTTACTGTTGTTATTGATAAATTTGACTTATTTACTTTTCATCACAGTAATTCTCTCAGATTTTGCCACTGAATGAGATAGCAACATTTTCTATGTTGTGTAAGACTAACTAGCAGAGATAATAATTTACGCTGTTGTGAACTTTACATATTAATCAAAGAAACGAGAATATATAGTTTTACAAGCAAGCAAATCAGACTTACTTGTAAGTCATCTAATTTATATGTGATTTCCGCATTTGGTCCAAAGTCATCGTCGTGTGCAATTAGTATAGCTGCGATTGAATTCACTGGCAAATCTTCCGATAAATTATAATAGAATATTTGGTTTTCAAATTTCGGTGCATGATCATTTTGATCTATAATATTGATAAATACTTCAGCCGTAACATTTCTGGGTGGATGGCCGTTATCCATTGCAGTCACATTGAATTTGATTTCATCAACAATTTTCTTGTCAATTTTTACTTTACTATACAAAATACCAGTGTCTGGATCAATACGTAAATATTGCTGTCCATTTAAATCAATCGCATATTTAATTCTGTTCGTTGACTGAATGCTTAACAAATTTTGACGTTGTTGTTGCTGATGAATGTAATGATAACTAGGTTCATTTATTCGATATGTATTTCCTCCAGATAAATGATTCTGATAATCTGGATCTGTTGCATTGAAAATAAATATGATTTCATCCGGTGGTGTATTTTCTAAAATATCCAACTGAAATTTATGTGTATTAAATGTTGGGGGGTTGTCGTTTTCGTCTAATACTCTTACATAAAGTTGTATTCTTCCTGTACGTACTGTTGCACTATTCAACGGTTGGTCTGTACATGCAATTTCTACGATTTCTATCGTACTCAGCTCACGATCAAGTTCTGTGGAAGTGACTACTTTAAAATCTAATGTATTTAGAGGCCCTTTCAAGGACTGACTGCTCAGCGGTTCAAAACTATAAAAATTGAAGTTATTATTTGAGTGAATGTCTGGAACAGAGTTTGATAAAGTTATTTGCTCAAGTTTAAACTTGGGATTATTTATACGACATGACAGTGCACCATTAGGACCAGAATCTGCATCGGTAGCAGTAGCGAATGCCACTAATTGACCTGGCTGTCTATTCTCCATCACTGTAGGATACGGTGGATTACTACGGCTCTCTAAATCTATAACTTTAATCTGTGGTGTTTCATCATTGACATCATTTATACGGACATCAACTACTGTATAAGAGGAATGTGAAATTGGTTTACCAGAATCACTAGTCAGTACTTTAAATCGTAAGTGCTTATTCGATTGAGGTAGTCTATCAGCATCTAGTGGTCTGTTAACTGTTATACTCCCTGTTTGTGAATCGATAACGAATGGAAAATTTGATATCCCTGTCTGATCCATCATAAGGTGATAGTGTAATTTACCATTGTCACCAAGATCTGGATCAGTACCATTAATTCTTCCTAATAATGTGCCTACCTTGGCATCCTCTGAAATGTCAAGATTCAGTGATCTCGGTACTATAGGAATGTTATCATTGATATCTATAATGTGAATACGAATCAAAATGGTGCCAGTATGTTTAGTATTTTGAAAAGAATGTTCATTTGATGGCTTTTTATTGTTTACATCCTGATAACCAGAGGCTTCAGTCTCCAAATATTTAATTCCATCGATTGCCAACAGCTTTATCCAATAATACTCGATTGTTTCCCGATCAAGATGACCAATCACTTTTAATGAGGGTATCAACAGCTCATTGTTTGCAATTAGTTCGAATCCTTCATTTGTTTGTTGCACGGGAGTATTCATGTCAACTTCAATATAATTCTGGGCTAATGGATCAGTGCACGACTTGTGTTCTAATGAAAACGGGAGTTCATTTTTATCTATCCCAATAAGATTTGAATGGGAAAGTTTGTTTTTTAATTGAAAGATATCTGATTGAGTTAAAGATTCTATTCGATACTCAGTTACATCATAAATACTCGAATCTAAATCTAATGCTTTAGGCAAATGTATACAAGTATGTAATTCCATTGATTCTTCAACAGATATTTCAATTACAGGTATTGGATTATACAAAAGTGTAGTTGTTTTTGACATAGGAACAGGGAGAATAAACTGTGGTGAGTTGTCATTAATATCCAATAATTCAATTTCTACCGTAATGTATGCCATTTTCTCAGTTGATCCATCCATCTGATTGTTTCCGACAAAATCATGATGATAATGCATAGAAAAAATTACACGAAACTGTATCAAACAAACATCTGCCGTTTTACTGTCATATGATTTATATGTTTGACCACCACCTGAAATAGTCATTCGACCAGAAGTATCTATATATCCATTTATACTGTTTTTAATTGTCGGGTTTGAACAACATAACTGATTTTTAGTACATAATGTATCTCTATCAATAGCCATCACTGTGTGTATACTTTCAGTTTCCTTATTTAATCTGAATAAACGGGTCACTGATGAAATTTCAGAGACTAATGTTAAACTAGATGGTACAATAAACATTCTATTTTTTAAATCATGTTCAATGTTATTTGAAGTGTTATAATTAGTTAATGGAACAGAGTTTAAAAATTCTCCAATATTTATTACAACTGTTCCTGAAGGTGATTCTTCTTTGAGTTTAATTCGAACATATTTTGGAACATGTACATCATTGATTGATGTATTCATACCCCAACAAAATATCATATCAAATTTTATTAATAAAATATTAATGACTAACAAAATTGATCCATAATAAAATATAAATCCAATATAATGTATAATGAAAATATACAAGTTTAATATATGTTTATTATAATTTATAATAAACATGAAATAAATAATTGAATTTGTTTAGTATAATTTAAAATAAAATAATTTCTTAAGTGAAGCTACATGATAAATGAAAATTTAATAAATTGAAAATTGAATTTATTTATCTGGTTTGAATTTTATCCAATCAGAAGACTAGTTTATTATGATTGGTGAAATAGAATTTAATTGGATTAATGTACATGACAACTTGATATGTGTAAAATTGTTTCTATGAAACATTATTCAATTTAAATATAAATTTTCCTTTATTCAGAATATATAGAGGCTTTGATCAACTACATATTTCTATAATAATTTGTTACAGAATAAATGTCCGTATAATAGCAAAATGGTTAGAGGTATTGAGGAGTAAAATCTAGATCCTTTTCAAGTTGTTTTTACTGACCAGCATTTATAATCTTAAGGCAAATGATATTCTAGCAGGGATTAAACTTGAACTTATAGTTCCAGAAATAAACGTGACCTATATAGTAAATGATAATATTTCAGAATGAGATGGAGTATCTTTCGTTTTAAGGTTCCGACCATTGATAATGAAAAGTGTCATGAAGTCTAGATGCAGCTTGGTGTAAGGAGACTAATCTAAGAACTGCCAGAAGTGTATTATGATAAAACCATGTGTCCAAGGATTAATATCATCTGTTTTATTAATAATAAGCTTACGAAAATCTGAATATCACATTGTTCTTGAGATTTCCGCTGAAGTCATATAATTTATCATCGTTTGTAAAAACTATAACATCATGATTACAGAAGCCAAAAAATAATCAAGCAAGACGTATGAATAATTATCTACCAGTTCCAGTTGAAATTTTGAAGTGAAGTGTACTAGTTTGGAATTCTAGGGTTAACATCAGCACTGGGGTGTAATTACAACCAGCAAGTCCTCGGTTTTTTCTGCTGGCCATATAACAAATTTACTAAAACTCCACAAAATATCCTTGGGAATATCAATTAAGCCTGAATGTAAAGAAGAAACCTTACAGACTTACGTTATTTCTCATTTTTAATGCATTAAAAATATGTAATTAGTGGGAATATCGTTATACGTCAGCGGTTACTGAAGTTTAATTATGTTTTTTTTACTAAAAAATAAAATTGGTTGGAAAACTATCGAGAATCTAGAAACACAAAAACGATATTTACTCTCTATGTTAAACTTCTCATTAAAATACGGGCTCTATGCAAATACCTACAAAATTAGATTTCAATGAAACACATTCCCACTTTCATACGAACGATAATATAGCATCACTGTCACTCCTGGTACCAGTTTCATTCTTATCATCACTGAACTAGAATTTAACAGTCTGCCTTTATTCTGTCATTATTTTAAATGTATCTTGTGACTGATGGAGTTCAAAGAATTAATAAAGTAGTTGATGATCACCTGCAGTTATATCATATAGTTGAAAATAATGTCTAAATTGGTTCAGAACTAAGAACAGGCCTTGTAGTAAGGTGATAAATTGTATGTAGTAATTTATTTATTCGTTAGTGGAATTATCAACAAGGATTGTGGTTCGTGATATTGATGTTGACAGATATAAATAGTATGTATCATCAATCAAAAGTGAAATGCCTAGAAGCAGAAGGTTAAGAAGATCGAAGAAATGAGAACGAAAACAGAAAATAACTGGTGTGGAAACGAAAGAACAATGAAGTCTAAAACGATTGATTGTCATTTTGCAGATGAATTATTTACTATATGATTCTCAGAGTTTACTAGTTGATTCTGTAATTTGTATTCAAATACAATCGATTGTCCCCGTTTGTGTTCTCTTTCACTATGATATATACTTAAAAAAATTCATTCGTTTAGATCTTTATTCAGTTCTATAAAAACCGTCACTAAGATGTTTTACTTTGAATTCACCAATATTTTTATAATCTAAAAGTTTCACTGTATTTTTCATCATTCTTATAGGACTCAACAAATAAATACGTAACTTTATTCTTTCAAGACAAGTATTTGACACTATCATGAGAAGCAAATCTATGAACAATTATTTATAATCGAGTTGGTGATCATTTATCGAAATAGATCAACTAAATTGACAAAAGAAGAAGCTGATTATGAATCTGTATAACATACTTAACTACTAATCTAAAATTGAAATGAGATCAGAATTATTGCAATTGCCAAAATAAATTTATCAAGCTTTATCTACCTTTTCAATGTTCTCTTTTTTTTCTTCAAATGAATTTTTCTTAAGAATGGTTCAACTAAAGATTTACAAAGGTTTCTCATTAAAATAGAATTTCTTCCAATACAATATCTTTTATTAACATTAATCTTGTAACTACATTCATAATTCTGGATATTACTTACTTACCTACGCCTTTTACTCCTAATGGAACATAGGACACTGGCCAGCATTCTCCAACCCAATCTGTTCTGAGCCCTACTTTCTAGTCCCATCCAATTATTGTTCATCTTTCTCATGTCCATCTCCATTTCCCGGCGTAACGTGTTCTTTGGTCTCCCTTTTCTCCTTTAACCTTGAGGATTCCATGTGAGGGCTTGTCTTGTGATTCAGTTAGACGCTTTCCTCAATGTGTGTCCTATCCACTTCCAGCGCTTCTTCTTGATTTCTTTCTCCGCTGGGATCTGTTTTGTTCTCTCCCACAATTCTGGACATTATCAAATTGTAAAAAAATTACGTAATCTATTTGATTACTGTGAAATACAAATGAACTTATTTGATAGAAATCTGTGGAAAATAGTAAATATAATTAACTTTTTTAAAACAGTTGCTAAACATAAATTAGTTTAAATAATTCTTCAATTATGATATTGGTCAATATACGAACGATGTGTAACATTTTATTATTTGTAAATTGTGGAATAAAGTAAGTGCAATTACAGTTTATAACTTTATAGAAAACCATGAAATAACAAGTAGTTAACGTTTGTCATTTATAAGAGATGTGAAAAGAGAAAGAAACATAATAGAAGAGTTTAACGAGTTATGCTTTGCTGCTTATCAAAAATGCTAATGAATTCGTTCAACATATTCTGATGTATAGTTATGTCAACATACAAGTAATTGCTTTAGTCAATCAAACGCTCAAAATGAAAAATAAACTTTTAGGTAGTAAAAATAAATTGTTGTTATCATTGAAGTGTAAATCTTTTAGTTAGCTTTTCAAATCTGTCACCTTTTAGTTTAGTTCTAAAAATATTATTTTAAAAAGAGTCTAAGAGTGGGCTTATTGCTAATTCTTCTATCTTGTTTTTTTCCAATTTAGTCAGGCAAACCAGTTCAGTTTACTAATACCGTTTTTAAAAATTAAAATATTTGATATTTACAGTATATTTCATCTTTTTCTGAAAAAAAATCATTTCAAAATTTTCACTGATCACACAATTGGACACCGGCTCAGTAATCTCGAGGTTAAACGCTTGCGCGCGAGAGCAATAGGTCCTGAGTTCGAATCTCGTGAGGCGGGATCGTGGATATACGCTTCTTAAGAGTCTCACAATAGGACGAAACGGTTGTCCAGTATTTCCAGATTTTCCATGGTGGTCTAGCTTCAACTGACTCATGATGTCGACATCTAAAATTACTGTTCATTTTGCTACAGTTAAGGAAAAAATAATTTCTAATAGAATTAACACGTCAAGTATGTTATCATTAAGAGCACAGATGATGGAACACATCTATAAATATTGTTCAATGGTACCTAGCTAGTATGCAGCTAACCTGTGGTCAATCACAAGCTAATGGACTATATTACAACTTGGTTACTTCCGATCTGAGAATGTTTAAATGTAATGCCATTTATGATATTCGATAAATTGATCATTATTGCATTATCAGTACATTAGACTGGTTGCAATATTTAAAAAAAAACATTCTGAAGTTTTATAGAAGATACATGAACTATTTAAGACAAAAAAAACAAGATGTTAATTGTTCGATAAAATCTACTACATGTTGAATATCAAATAATTAAATAAATTTTATCAACCTTTTAGGATGATATACATCAAAATGCTTTTAGAAAGTAAATCAAAAACATGCTAGATGAATATAGTGAACATACAATCACATAAAAGAACGAAAGCTTTATAAAATGAATATATATATATATATATATAATATATTCATACTACAAGGAAAAGCAATCTCTTGTTACTAGTTTAGTAAAAGGATTAAAACTCACAACATATATCATGGTAATGAATATTGCATACCTTATGATATAATGTATATAGTTTATAGGTTCAGTAATTTACTTCTTGAATATTACTTGTTTGGTGTATCTAGAATTTTAAGAGTAATTTTCAAACTTTTATTTCCCTTCAAAATAATATATTTATGTGATTGACTTTCGGTGTTTGTCGAAGGCTGTTTTTATACAGTTTTGTAACAGTTGCGACCGTCGTA